ATAAACGTGGCATGCTGCTATGGAGAGAGGAAAGGAGTTGTTTGTTTGCGGTTGGTAGTTAAGTACAGATGGACATGTAACCATGACCTCCATTATATATGATGGATCATAAAATAAAATAAGTGCTAAATATATTTTAGCACATACAAGAAACGTGACATGAAACAGCTATCTTTTCATCCGATCCATTTTCTTATTTCATTATTTGCAAAAGGTAAGGTATCATAGCACGCCCCTCCCACTCCCCCTCCCCCCACAGGATCCTCTGTTGTTTCTAAGGAGTTCTATCATGTTGTCTTTCGTCCTTGTGGCAATGCTAACTGACAGATTTTATTGCAACCATTTGAACATCGTCCTTGACCTTGATGTTTGTGAAGTATAAACAGTGTGCTAATTTATCCTTTAAACTTTTAACCTGCCATCAGGCAGTCCTTCGTACTTCACTTTTTTGGGGGAGACAAGGGGAAAAAAGTGCCTGATCACAGGTTATTAAACTTCAGGACAGTTTTGAAGAAAGTATGAGTGCTAAGCTCATAATACTTTACTCATTAATGTAGTCATTTAATAGGTTCAATTACAATTTCACTGTCTGCTATCTGTCCCAAACCTGAATTTGTAATTGGATTAAACTGTACATGATCACTATTCTTCACCTCTTTCTTATTATTTTCCGGCCTCCTAGAATTAGAAGAGGGCTTCATAGAGAGGGTTGATTTTAAACTCCCTCTAAAGTTGAGAAAATATGTTTTTTTCCTGTATAATCACAATGTACAAACCCAGTAAGTAATTAAGACATACAAATATGCTGTTTTCTTTAATAATAAATTGTTTTTCTAGCCCCACTAATGAGATTTTAAAAGATTATAAATCCTTAAACTCTTGAAATAATTTATGTATAGGTGAAGTAAGGGGTTCACCCCGAGATAGCTTTAGGAAATATGTTGTGATAGCTAGGTGCATGAAGTGGAGGGACTGAAAACACAGTAGTTCATGAAATAATATAACTATCTCTATCCAGGTCCCTGTTGTTTGAAACAGAAACTTGCAAAATGCACTTTTTTCCATCAGGCCAGCCATAAAAGTTTGCTAGCTAACTCAAAAATATGAAAAGAACAAAAAAAATTTTCCTGCTTTTTTTGGTGATAAGAAAATACTTGCTTGGCATAAATATGGCTGATAGATTTCCTAAAAAGTTTTAAGGTACAATAGCCTGATCATGTACAAGTGCAGTGAGTTTTGTTGGCCCAAGAGAGTTTAGTTGTGACTGCTTTAATAGTTCTTTAGGGTGTTATATAGTTTTGTATTATGGCACTTGACACA